TACTGTAGGGAAAATTCTGGTGTGATGCAATCAAAACACAGGACTATATTTCAAGTATACTAGTGTGATTTCCTGATTCAAAAGAAGCCATTCTAAGTTTACTAGACAAGAAATCTAAAAAAAAAAAAAAGGAACAGCAAAGGGTGCTGTTGAAGGGGCAATTCCTTAAGGGTATGTCTTCACTATGGAAAGGAATATTTTTCTAGATGACTGTTTCAGCACAGCCAAATGCATCCAGGGGCTCTTTGGCCTTTAGCTCCTCAGCCAAGAGAGGCTGCACTTGTATTCCCCAAGGGTAGCTCAAGGCATGCCTAGGATGACCATCTTTTTCACAATCATGCCAAGGCTTCAACGCAGCAAAGACCTCCATGGATCAGTGCCAGCTGTGTTGACTAGTGGGATCCCTGACTCATGACTGCCAAATCTACCCCCTGGGTGCTTGCTTGTAAGCCCAGACTGTTATTTGACCACTGCGTCGTTACCTCATTGGGCTCCCACAGCCAGACGTCAAAGGTTGGTTTCCGAAGAGCTTCGATGGTCTCTTGGGAGAGCATGTACTGTGGAGGAAACAGCAGGCAGCGTTAGCATGGACGCCTGCATCTGCGCGAGGTCACGGTCGCACGTCTCTGAAACTCCCCAGGGTCCAGCACATGTGCATCTTGGCCTCATTTCCCAAGGAAAAAGTTCTCTCTCTTTGCCTTTCTCGTTTTTCTCACAGTAAGCCTAGAGCCAGCAGGCTGCTCGAGGCATTGCCAGTGAAATGATGGAGGTTGTTCAGGCAAAGTGACATAAAGGGTGTAGGATGTGAATCTGTCCCCCCACTGCATTAATTCCACTGCTAGCAGAACAATTTAGTGCATTTAGTGCATCCAGTCATGGCTAGATAATATGAAGTGTATATGCTTATAATTTTAAAGTAGTTGGTATAATATATTGAGTTCCAGATGATTTATAGTCTCTTTCTGAGTGTTTTTTCAGGAAGTCCCACTCCCTCAAATTGGTTGTCAGCCTGTAAGATTTATGTAATTTTTTATCTTTGTGCTCAGTGGCTCAAAACAAAATGCAGCTCATCATGCAGCTAAGATTTGTTTATAAAAAGACAAAAAGAGAATGTGGGGGGAAAAAGGATCAGGGAAGAATCTGGACATTACTGAATCATACTATTTAGACTTCATTGGTCAAAGTCTTTCTGGAACACAAAAATCTTTTAACTTTAATTGACCCATTTACCATGCCTGTCTGTAATTAGTTTGGGTTTACTGTACTGAGAATCTGAATGCAATTTTTTGAGCCATCAAATTGATTTGAGCCGTCAAATTGTTGACACTGAATTAAGATTCAAGGAAGAATAATGCTAAAGGTGAATTTGCCTTCTGGAGAAGAAGCAGTTTTCTCTTTTACATATATAATGTACACATAACATGATGCTTTGCCATGAATCTGTGAATTAGCAGTACTGCTGTGTTATTTAGTAACAGTGTAGTAGTGGCCACTTCTTCTTTCAGCAGAATCCTCACCTCTTAACCTAACTGGCAATGGACCAATCCATCACCTCAAAGGTGATTAACAAATGTCACAGATCTGGCAAACTGAACCCAAACTTCTTCTGAAGCCAAAATCTTATGCACTTCGTTCTCCGAACAGTATCAGTTTACCCTGCAGTCAGTCTGTGAAACTCTCCATAGCATTTGCTGTTAATTCTAAGTCCTGATATTATAGCAATAGATCAAAGTTGAAGCGGTATGTGGCATAAATACCTATCAAGGAAAGAAATAAGTTTCAGAATGGTTACATTTGTCCTATATTGGACAAAATTTGATTAAAAAGAACATTAATCTAGTGATGCCCACTTCAGAGACCTAGACATTGCTTCAATTAGGAAGGGCATAATAAATGACAGTCTTCTAATAAGATGGATGGAACTTATCAATTCATTGCTCTGTAAGGCTCTAAATACAAATTTGCAAGGATGTACGTTGTATGTTGTACAGTCAGGTCACAGGTGGCCATGCAAACTTGAGAGCCACTGAGACAACTTTGACCCATGCAAGCAAATGACCACTGTTAAACTAGAACTTGCACATGTGTGACCTGGTATTTTGCCAAGGTGCAAGTTGGGCACCACACAGCTGCATCCTGGCAGCTTTGAACAATTCCTACGGAGAAGGACTGCAGGAATTAGGACTAAAAATCCTGTGTGTTTCATGGTTCTGGCCCCATTCACCACTGTGAATTTGTACCCGGGAGATATTTTTCTTCACACATTGACATTTTCTCTAGTAAATACACTAACTCATTTTCACAGTGGTAATGAATCATTCTGGAGAGAATCCAGTGTAGCATTTTCTATTTGTTGTCCCAACTGAAGCATCTCATAAATTACTTTTAAAATTAAAAAAATAATCCATTAGGAGAAACAGGATGCAGCACTATTTTTAATTAGAGTACAACATTATAAGCTATTTTCAATTGTGTGCCACAAGCATGCAGAATAAGCATATATTACTAGATGAAAGAGCATTAAATGTTGACATGTGCAAAATGGTCATTAACATTTCAGACACTAATGAGATTTCCAGACTACTGAGGATCCAACTCTAAGCCCACTGCAGGCAAAGACAGCTTTGCCACTGGCTTCCAGGGAATTTGGATCAGGCCCCGGGTTCAGAATAATTAAGGGCTAGATGCCTAGGGATTATAAAATGGCCTTTGTCTGGATGGCAAGCATGTGTTAGGATGCGGATAAGAGTGAGTATTGCATGGTACCTTTGGGTAGGAGGGTACATCCCGACGTGGAGCTGGCCTCTTGTTTTCATCCAAAAAGCTGTACTTGCAGGGACAGTTAGTCCTGAAATGAAATATTTGGCCCTTAGCATTGCAGGAACAGCGCTGCTTGGTCTTGAAAAATGCCGAGTGTATTTTGGTCTTTTGGTAGGCATTCCTTGGAGACTATGCCACTTCCCAACCTCTCCTTTTCTAATCTCAAATGCTTCAGAAGTGTGATCCTCTTTAAGGGATTCTCCCCCTGTGCAATGCTCTCATCTCCTTTTCTACATATATTTGAGTTCAGGCGAGGAGTGTCTTTTTTCAGTCATGTATCCTTGGATACCCGACCACTTCTATTTAAACCTAGCAACTTTCCTTTGAGCAAAGTGCTTTTCACCCACGTGCTTTTCAGACTGGGTGGCTGCAGCTGCACTAGTAGAGAAATAGGCTGCCACTCTGCTCTGCCCCGCACGCCAGTGGGTACGGCAGAGATCACCACCTTGCACCCAGGGATTTATGTCCCTGGAGACAGCTGCTTCGCCGAGCACTTTGTGACAGGCAAGCTGTTTCCTCCGTGCAATGGCCCTGGGCCATCCGGGAGAGATGGACAGCAACGCCAGGATCACACCATACCGCACCGGTCTTGGGATGATGCACTGCCTGCATTTTGCATTTATCCTTGCAGACCCAATATGCGCATTACTCTGTCTCATTTTTCACCCCCCATCCCTTTCCAAATGAACCTAAAAAAAAGCCCCAAATGAAAGTGATTAAAACATTGCACTAGCTCTACCTACCCCCTTCTCAGGATTTTGCCAATTTTGGAGTACGTCTCTTTTTAATGTTTTTCTGTAGGGAGTTGGCCTACATCTCTCTCATTTCTCCTCTTGTCTTTGATCTCCACTATCCTTCCTGATGGCACTGTCTGAATTCTTTACAAAGTCATTTCATTTTTTAGCTCATGCTGATCAGCAGGCCTCAAACAGCTGCCTCTTCCTGCCCTGTTTAAGGAAGTTCTCAGTTGGTGAAAAGCTATCATCTTAATCGTTTATAAACCCATTTCCTCAAAACTCCACTGTGAGGAGTATTAGTGGGGTAAAAATAGTGAGACTGGGGCATTGCTTGCCCTAAGGGGAGCTGGCTGCCAGGGTTAGCCTCGGGTCAGCCAAACAGACATTATTTCGTAACTGTTGTAAGACTCAAGCCTTCATCCTACAGCACCAGGGAGCACACCAGAGCCAGGGTGCGTCAGGCCCTTACAGACATACAGCTGTGTCTGTAAGTGGTCATAGCTGTAAAAGACACTATAATGTTATCAGCATCTGCCAAAAGGGAGCACAAAAAGCAGGCTAGCAGGAAAAGCAAATGCTGTCAATGCCAGTAGGGCTGCTTTGCTCCTCTGCCGAGTAGGAAAGCACATCTCACTATGATGATGTGATGACTTCTATAAACTTAGGTGTTCATCATCATCCTATTGTCTTGCAAAAATAAATGTGAGAATACGGAACTATACTCTTATATAGTTCCGTATTCTTTATTTATTATCACTATATAAATATATACATAAGATATATACATGATACGAAAGGCCCTGCTTCACAGCAAGGGTACACAAGGAGCATCCTCTCCTCACTCATAAACCAAAAGGAAGGTGACTTGCAGCAACCCTTGACTATATGCTGAACCTGGGCAGGATTTTGTGCAAGCATCTCTGCATTACTGGTGCAGGACCTCAGTGATCACCTTATGTTACAAAGGAGAAATGGAGATGTGGCGGGGCATGAGAGTGGGTCAGCGGGACAAACAGCTGGAGATACAAAATCCACAAAAAGCACATACAAATCCAAGGAGAATTTTTTGCATATATATATTGCATATTTTTCCAGGCTCCACATGGAATAGTTTTCTTGCCAACAATAAGAAGAAGCAGAGCAGTACAGCACAAGGTGACGCTGGGCAGAGCGAGTTAGACCTTTACTTTAATTAAAGCATATCTACAACTCCCTTGGTAGCCAGCAGCAAGCTGGCTGGGGCACCCAGCACTATGTGTTGCTGTGTAATATACCTCTTCTTACCACAACTTTTGCACACTCTGCTCCATGCTGGCATCTAACTTTCGAGGCACCAGCTGCCAGAGATGAGCGCTTCCACAAACCACCAGCATGAAGCTCCCTTTGGTCGCCGCAAAGGGACCGCTCTGACCCACAGAAAGCGGAGCTGGGGCTGCCCTGTGGCTCAGCCTGTCTGGCTCAACAGCAGTCGTCACCCAGGCGGGCACCGAGCCCCATGGGCGCTGCTCCCACACGCGTGCATCAAGCGTGGAGCACGCGTGAGTTGTTCGTCTAGCAGCGATAGCCATGGGTTTACACCGCTCTTGCCTTGCTGTCTGTCAGTCCTGACCCCTCCAGACCACGGACTGCGAGGGTCTGCTGGTGCATATCACATTCCAAATTCCTGTGTGAGAGATGGTGGCGCCTCCCAGACGGATCAGCAACTTGATGCTGCCCAGACCCATCTCGCCCCAAAGCTCCAGAGATGCCAAGGGTCTCCCAGGTCATAGGAGAGGGACTACCGATTGTCCGGGAGATTCAGCCAGACCCAGAGCAGGTTGCACTGGACAAATGTAGCACTTCCTGTTCCTGTCTTTCTTGCTAAATGGATAGCCTAACATACTGCCGCTTATATTGCAAAATATAGATTGCAAAAAGACAAGATCTGTGACAGGAGTGAGTCATAGCTGCTGCTGGAACAGACCTGTACTTCCTGATGCATGTAGTGTTAACTGCCTGAATGTGAAGTTACCATAACTCCATTCTTTTTTGGTTTTAGTTTTCTATCTGCCTATGCATCCCTAGACTCATCAGTGCAACTCTCCCAGCTGCCCGTAACATTAGAGGAAAAATAAAGACGCGTGCACACACACACATGTTATTCACAGCACATCAAGCACAAATCAGCATATGTGTTTTTGCGTTTGTTGCCAATCTGCGCTCTGATTTTTCTAATGAGATTTCCTCACACACCTAAACAAGAAATGATGCAAGCCCCAGGGCAAACTGCAATCCATCACACTGGTATAAATCTGGAACAGATCTTGTGAGGTTAATAATGTTACTCTCCATTTATACTACTATGACAGCTGAATTTGCCCTTAGACTTTATAGGAATGCATTAATAGCTTGCCTCCTGACATATCTGGATAGCAAAATTTATAAAAGCCAGTGATTATAAAGCCTAATTCTTTTAGCAAATCTCTCATTGCCCTCAGTGGGAAATAGTTTTGATTAAAGGTCATAGAATTTGACCCCAAACAAAGAAAAAGGGAGAGGCTTTCAAGATAACATGGTTACATTTGTTGAGAAAAATCCTCTTCACCTATAGTGTGAGAAGTATGGTAAATCTCTTTTCATTAACCTTCCCAGAAGTATTCATAATCTCACAGTGATTATTTCTGTGTCCTAACGGGGCATTGGTGTCATGGGGGGGCAGGCTTTCCAGCTGAGACCACATACCATACCAGATGCAATTTTTTCTGCTGTTGTTTTAATTACAGAGAAATCAAGCTTGACAATTGCAGAATGAGCCCTTTAATTAGAAAGCAAGTTCCTAAATTCTTGCTGAAATTGAAATGGGCACTTTATAACAGCATGAGATCATAATTAGAAGAATCGCTACATATTTATTTGATGTTTTCCCAGACTATAGTTCAAATCTTACTGGATCTAGTTTGCATGTTATCCGTTTCCCAAGCAAATGCTTCGCTTTGCAGAAGTGCATTTCCCTTTCTCTGTCCTCCCCGCAAAAGAGTGAAGAGTTTCTGTTCTATATGAGGAAACACAGGAAAAACTGTACTCTGTGCTGCAGGACTTCTTTTCTCTAATCATGAAGCCTGCACTAACAACTGAAGCATGGCTATAAACCTTCAAATGTAACAGACTATTAAATTAAAGCCAATGTCCTTAACAGCTATTTGTTTCATTTCTCCTATACTCTTGAGCCCAGAATGTAACTCTGCTCTGCAGAAATGTTGCACGAGCGCTGGGAAACACATGCTGATTTCTTCAGTTTGATCCGGAGCAGAGCTTACCTGGTGCTTCTTGCTGCCATTTCCTCCCTCATCTTTTTAATGTCGCTCTTGCATTTCTCAATCTCCACTACTTTCAGGCCTTCCACTGTCAACAGAGGAAAACAACAGGGGTGTTACCATGGTGAAACTCCAAGGATCTCGTTTCAACAACTGCACAAACTTTCAAAGGGCTGCAGCAGCGGGGTGATGCGGAGAGCGGGTCCTGCTTACCGCGCGCGCTGGTCCTCACGTGTGCAGGTGCTGCCAAAGCGGCGCATCCCCAGAGCCCGCAGGAATTATTTGCTGCCAATTTTAGATAATAGCTCGAGTGTTTTAATTCGCAGAGCGGTTACAACGTCTCATCTTTTCCACGGCTGTGCGCAGCAGCCAGCTGTTCTGGTGCCTTTACTTCTCTGCTGCTGAGCACTAATCAAAGGGGCTCCTGAGCAAAAAACCTCCGGCGATGGGATGATAAGCACAGCTAGACAAACACGTCCCGGTAGGATTAGAGTTCCCATTAAGATAAAAGGTTTTAATTTCAAAGTTCATGCCGAGCATTAAGGAGCTCTAAGAGGCATTACTAGTGATGGAGAAACCAGAGAGAGAATGCAGGGGAGAGAACGAAAAGGAGAAATGTCGAAAAGTTTTGACTCTAAGAATTGATTTCATTGTGTTTAATATTGAAGATCTGTCACTTTTTTTTTCTGTAAGTCAATTTGCAATCAAAGGCTATTTCTGCATGCAGCACAAAAATCCTATGTTCCTCTGCCATATGTAATTACGAGAGCCACAAGGCAAAAAGTTTGATTGCTTGTTTATGTTGCAATTCATTTCGCTCCACAAAGCTGTGAGAACCTTATGCATTGCAAATACGCGAATATTCTCCTCTTCCTCTCCCTCTGGCTGAGCTATCAGCATGCTCAAGGACATCATATAGGACCATTTATTAAGTGCATGTCATTCACATGGAATCATTTCACAGCTCGTTTGTTTACTGAACTCATTGTTTGCACGGACAAGCTGTGCTCAGGGAATGCAAGGGAATGGGTAATTGTACAATCACTACCCCATCACTTTCTCATAAAATAATAATCAGAACCACCACACTTATCTGGAGGGTCACATATAAGTGACGACAAACTATTTTGGAAGGGCAGAGCTCTGGAGATCAGCAGAGACCTCTTTTTTTTTATTTATGCTAGTGAATGCTTTTGGATGAGAAATAGGGACAGGGAAAAGCAAAACAGATATATAAACCAAATCCAAAGCATCATATATTAAAAGAGGAAAAGGAAAGGGTTTTGAGATTTTGCTTGAATACAGGGACCCCATCCACTAAAAAAATCAGCAATTTCTTTGGGTGATCTCAGGTAAGGGTACAGGTACAGGTAAGATGCTGCCCTGTTTGTTCAGTATTTTCACTCTGGATCTGGCTGCACATTTTGGGGTACTCAGTTCAGCAGTTTTGCTACTGACCTGCAGCCTCTGCACTACCCTATCCCACCCCGTGCATTTCTCTGGGAATCCATGGTAGTCCATTTGCCAATACTGGCTAAATGGGTGGCCAGTTCATATCAGAAGCAGAGTATCAGACTGACAAGACAGTGGGGCAGGCAGCTACAGAGAGCAGAAGAGAGATGGTGCAAAAAAAAGCAGCCCCGAGCACTTTCGGTATCGTTTCTCTTTAGTTTTCTTCCCAAACCTCCCCAGAGAATTTACATAATTATTTTCTTAAAGTAGATGTGAGATGCTTGCAAATTGTAAAGGGCTTTGCCAGCTTCCTTATTCATGCATTGGCTGCTCTGTGAACACAGGGACAAAGTAAAGCTGTGGAACAAGGCATTTCCAATTGCTTTCCCTGCACGGATGTGTTTTCCAAGGGGAAGTCACAAGGTTTAGATGGGATTTAAAAATCAGTTAAAAGATCTGGCTCCTAGAAATACATTTCTGCAATTCTGTCTCTAGACAGTAATGGGAAAGAGGCTGGGAACATATTATGTGAGGTGCAGATGTAGAGCTGTCATGAACTCTTATTCCCACACACGTCCTCTCTGGGGAAGAAAACCTGGAGATCACATGTGGAAGTGGTGGAAAAGGGATTTCTGAAGGAGGCAGGAGAAAAGGCAAAACAAAAGCACTATTCTACCCACATTTGGCTTGCAAGTGATAAATGGCCTTGTCATGTGCACTGATTAAGGGCTCATTATCTTTTCCTGCAGCAAGAAATGCCTCTGAAAAGACCCTGTGCTGTCTAAAGAAATCCTTGGGCTGAATCCAGTACTGAAACGTGGCTCTTCGGGCAGCCGCCAGGAGCCTTGCCTGAGTAAGGAGCTGGGATTCTTCCTTCCCCCCTCAGTTTTGCCTACGCTCTTTTCAAAATGTTGCGGATCTGGCTCTGCTGCAAACTCTGGAAGTCCAATCTTGAGCAGATGGGCGCCCCTGTAGGTAGTCATCCCAGGGAGCTCCTGTTGGAGCTGCCATCAGAAGCGCTGCTGCAGCAGAAGGGCAGCAAGCTGCTGCGTCTGCTGTTATTTCCATCAGAAGAGCGTTTTAAAAAAAAGAAGTCTCATTTGGGAAACAGTGAATTTAGTTCACCTGCCTGGCATGGCAGCTCTGGGAATGCTGCCTTCCTTAAACCAGCAAAAAAGTGCTGTTCAGTGCAGATGCACAACTCTTTTTTCCTCTGGCAGCTGCATGTGGATCTTCGTTCCCTCCCTCTGTGGCTGGGGCTGTGGGGCACAGCTGGGAGTCCTGGCAGCGTCGGGAAGAGACCGGAGAGAGCCAGCACCCGATGGCTGTGTGGGATAGTCACTTCCCCCCTTGCTGTCGGGGAACAGGGAGACCCATAGGAAGGAAAACCCCATTTGCCTTATTTGCTCTAGTCCGGGAATCGAGCCCAGAGCACTGGAACTGGTTAGAAATTTCATAGAAAAGCAGAAAACGATCATCGTTTTCAAAGAAAATGCAGAGCAATGGAGCTAATTTCTTTTTCTTCTACCTTATTTATTTATTATTTTCGGAGAGGGTGGAGGGACAAAGCAACAAATCAGTGGTGCCTCGGACAAACTGTGGCCAAGCAGAGGGCTGGGATCGCTGCCTGGGTTCCTCGCTGGTACCCGACATGCTGCAAGGTGCCGGGGCACAGGCTTCACTGCGAGGGCTCCCGCTGTTCTGGGCCTTTGGAAAGCTCCAGCCCTGGGGCAAAACGCTGCTGGGGTGGCCCCTGGGAGAGGCTTCCCTGCAGCTGCTCTGCGAGTAGGAGATTTTTTTTCCTTTCCCTGCTGACAAAGGCATCAGTTTGACTGAGCAGCTGCAGGGTCAAGGTAGCTTCTGGATGGGGGAAATTTCAAGACTTTTTTTTTCCATGAACCAGAACCTCTTTTTTTGCATTTTTTTTTCCCAGTCAACTTTAGTGAGAAAGCACTTTTTGCAGCTGTGGTGTTGGGGAAAATTCTGTCCATTTCTGACTTAACTGTTGCATGTCAATGAGGATTTGACCTTCGGTGTCAAAGCTATGCCATGTGACAGGGCCTTATTCATATCCCTACCCTGGCTTTCCTGAATCTGTTTTATGCATAACATACTAAAAAATTACAAGGCAGATGCTGCCTGGAAGAAAAACAGAAAAGGAGCTCTTTGACCAGATGAACTTTACTTTGTTGCTGCACAGTAACTAAAAACAATAGTATTGCTGACAGCAAATGAAACAAACAAGGAAAACTAGAAATGATACTGTGTGCTGGCTCTGTCCTCATATTCAGCCAGGAAATAGGGCCTGCGAGGTGGGGATTTTTGTGCTCGCAAGCCAGAAATCACTGCCTCTTAAGAGCCGAAGAAATACCCTTTGGTTGTATTTAACTATAACATTATACAGCGTGTTTATGGATGCTTCTGATATCATCCCTGATTTATGCATGCGTGTGTGCAGATATGAGCATGCTGCAGGGTAAGTCCTAACCCCATTTCAGCCCCACACAGAGCAGAAAAAGGCAGAGGGAGGGAATGCGACGCACACTTAATAGAAACATGCTCGGACCTTAGTGCTCAGGATGGACTTTAGCCAGTAGTAAGAACAAGCCCCATTGTGCTCAGTTTAATACACAGTGAATGTATTTCTGAAAGGACAGAGTCTAAAGGAAAGGCAGAAGGTTTGTCTCGTACAAATATCCAACATAACTAATGTGGGAGAAGGCAGCTACATCATCCTCCTTTAATTAACTCGAAAAAGCAGTAGTGAGCTTGAAGGCAAATAAATGGACACTCACATTCAACTTTTTTCTCCAGCATTGCCAAGTGATTAGCTACTTCCGTTTTCATTTCATTGATTTTAAAAACCCTGAAAAGGAAACCTTCATATATTAATGTTATACATATAGTGCCATGCCTACACTATCTACAAAACATTTTGTGTTAGAAATGTCTACATTTTTCAGCAGATGGATTACTCTGTCTATGATTGCCATAAGGCAAACAAAATTTGCCACAGAAATGTAAAACTTTTGGTGGAAAATACACATGGGTTCAAGGGATTTTCAGAAAATTAAAACCAAATGATTTTGTTGCATTCACCGTGGCCCTGAAACACTTCAATACCCACTCTCTCAGCAGCAACTTGTTATTGTATTCCCTTGGGAAGCAAAATTGACTTGAAAATGCTTCATCTAACAGGACCATCTTGGTATTTTTACACCTCTGAAGCTCTCCTCCTTTTGAATTTTAATGGTGATTGCTGAAGTAGAGTGGAAGAGATCTCATTCAGAGCAGCTGGAATAAAATAAGCAGCAATACAGACTTCAGAAACCCTATTTGAGGAGAGGCATATTTGTGTGATAACGGAAAAAAAAACACAACACAAACATGATGATTTTAATGCTCTGTGAAGAAGCATTTCTTTTGCTTCCTAAGAAGACAGAAATACAATACAAACATTTATATTTCATACATGATATCCTCTTTAGATCAAAGATATGCCCAAATCACTTCTAGTTTAAGCTGCTGTACTGATTTTAGAGGGAGACACATGTGTACCAGGCTTGAATTTGGCAGGAAGAGTGGGATTTGAAGATCTTAAGAATCCCTTTGAATAGCTCACTTCAGCCTAATAAAAGAAATGGAAGTTTAAATTGATAATAATGCTGTTCAGTTGCTTACCTTGAGAATTGCTCTGCAATTTGTCCCAATAAATTCTGAAGCAATTCTTCTTTCTCTAAAAAAGCAAAAGGAAGAAATAACAGAAAACAATATAGAGAAGAGGGTACGTCCCGCTCTCCTGCAAACTTATATCTGCAGACTGCCAACTCTGATGAGGAAACATGTAGCTAAAAAGTCACCCTGGTCCTTTGAACAGTGGCACCATTTGGGAATGCAGACTAGTCTCTGATTCCTCTTTCCACGTAGCTGCTAGTTTCTTTGATTATCTCCCTACCGCTCTGTCTCTGCCGATTACAGTCACGACTTTCTGAAAGATTTTCAGAGGTGCTGGATCTCGGAAAGACATCTTATTCTATTATTTATAAAGGCGTTGCTCTCTGAAAAGGAGACTCCTTTCATATTTCCCAAGTGGGACACCAGAAGCGTCACTCTCTTTTGGAAGGTTTGACTCAGTGCCTGGCCTGCAGCTCACCAGGACTCCCTTCATATAATCAGAAACAGAATCGTAAATTGGTAATTATGCTGTTCAGCACCAAAGAACCCAGGAACAACACAGCAGCACTTACAAATGGAAGAAAACACAGCTTACCTTTATGATTTACACTGTGACAATACACTGGAGACTGCTTTTGTAGTGCAAATTTGAGAAGATCATATAGCTACGCATAAGCTCCATGCAAATGCCAGATGCCAAATTGCCCATCCTTGCAGGATGAAGTCCACCCTGCCGAGTCCCTGGTATGGTCCCACCAGGACATTTGTAGCACACATTTCCCAAACCCTTTTCCCTTGAAAACAGAAGGAGCCTGCAGGAGGTAGCTCTGGTTAAAAGATCCCATCATTGCTGATGCCAGCTGAGGTGCTGTGGTGTCAGCAGCCCTGGGAACTCAGCTCGCTGCCTCCTGCTGCCAACTTGAGCACTGTGGCACTTATAACTGGCTCAAGAAAGTCAGCTTAGTGAGGCCCTAGGACCCCAGTTTGTAAGGGACAATATATTTTAAGAAGGAATAAGAAGCACCATACAAGTTTTCGGTTCTTTCTGTATATGTCCGCACTGCATTCTCACAGGCAGAAGAAAAAGAAGCCGCGTTTGCTGAGCCCTGGGCTGCTGTATTGCCACTGGTCCCATTTCCCTTGCACTTGTACACTGGACCTGCGCTTCACTGCTGTGGTTCCCTGTCTGCTCGCTGGGTCTGGGTTCCTGGCTGAGAAGCAGGAACGTTTGCATGCCTTCATATGCACCCCCAGACTAGAGGACAGCCCCATTCACCCTAAACAGAAATGCTCGACTGACATCTCTGCAGGAACTTCTTGTGTGTGTCCACAGGGACAAATTTCCTCCCAGGTGCAATCACTCGGGCAAAACACATCAGACCGAAATACAGCCCAGCATTCACAACAGATTTCTAAAAAATCATCTGCGTACCCATTGAAAGGACCTGCAGTTCCTCACGTGTTAGAGATGTCAGAAACACATGTCAAGAAATTCGCTTTTCTGTTCAAAATGATTTGGCGCTCGCTTTTCCGTGCACCTCAGACCTCATTCGCTCTTTCCTGGTGCCATCCGGCTCCCAGCGGAGCGGCCAGCAGAGCCCAGGATGAGATCAGTTCTGATTACAGAGGCTCATTTCTCAGTTTCCTCCCCCAAAACCGCTCCCCACGAAAACTGAAAATCCAAGGGCCGAAGCAAAGCAGGCAGGGTCCCTGCGCAAAGCGGAGTGGGGTTGCTTACCGTCCGCGTCCCCTGGGCTGTCCCCCGGCTCCAGCAGCGAGGGCGGACACAGGAACCTGTGTCCCCTCACCTCACTCTGGCTGCTCGGCGCTCTGACAGCGGCTGTAGCATGCGAGAGACTGACAAGTTCCCTATAAACACTGTTCCAGTAAGAAAAAAAAAAAGGAAAAAAAAATCTTACTTTCACTCCCTCCCCCTGTCAAAACCCGCCTGGAGTACTAGGACATTCTAATCCCAGGAACAGTCAGCTGCAATCTGATGTTTATAGATGTAATAAAAGACTTTAAAAACGAAGATGTATGTTTTTATAACCCTAGGGTGCAGTAAAGATATATGACTAAGAGTGGCAGTACTCCTCATCTTAAAGAGACAAAGATCCATTTCTTTTGCCCCTGTTCCTCGTGAGAGGGGACACCTCCAGTAACCCCTGTTTTCCAAGAAAACAAGCAGTTGTGCTGGCGTCATTCAGTCTGGCACGTTCCCCCTTTGCCAAACAGGGAAGGTGGGCGTCCTTTTACCCCCTTCCTAATTGTCCTGCGCCTCTCATGTCCCTCCGTGCAGGGCTGATGCCCGAGGTGCACACTGTTACCTTTTTCCTCAATTCCTTAGTGTTTCTTTTGCCTTTTCCGCAGTGATTCCCTATGGGATAAGGGAATGCCTCTGTGCGCAGCGCAGGCAGCTGCTGTGTGCACACCTTGGCACGGGACCCTAGCTCCAGCCTGCAGCAACCCCACTGTTGACGGCCACCCTCTCCTCAGCGGAGGCCCCTCCAATGCTGCAAACCCATTTTGCCTCTGGGTCGACCAGAAAGCAGGTGCCAACAGGTGTCCCTGCGAAGGCACTGGGAATATAGCAGGCAGGTGCCCGGGAGAGCCTCCTGCTCCAGCAGGAGGGGTTTGGTACGCTGCCCGCATAGCTGTGCCCCTTCTTCCTGAGGCGGCAGGAGGAGGGACAGCTTGTGCTGCCATGGTCCCGCGGGCTGACTCCAGCTCAGCGCGCGCCAGCATGACCCCCATCCCCGTCTTTGCGTTGTGGGCGTCTGACCCAGCGCTGATACCACGCTGGGCACTCCCTAGAATAATAATCTTAATTCCCATCTGTCTCCCATGCCTTGGAACGGGCAGGAAATGAGAAAGTTTCTTAGCAGGACTCCTGTGAATATCTCCTTTATTGGATAAAAGCCACTGCTTAGATTTTCCTCCCCAAAAGATCGTGCTTTCCTACCTTACCTTTAGCAATGTTAGTTCCACTACAGCCTGCCTTGCTCTTTTCCAGCTGCCTGGGAGACTGCTGAAGTGCATTTGCTCCAGCTGTTGTGAATATCGTGGTGACTCTTTTTTGGCATGTGTTTGGACAAGTTGCCTTGGAAAGCAGAATCACGGAGGCAGATTTGTTTAAGACGTGAAGACTAGAAGACTTTTTTTTTTTTTTAGTTTTAATGAAGAAGAACAATTTCCAACTCTGTTCATTCTCCCTACTCTCAGCAAAATGTCAGGAATGTTTAAGATTAATGGCAAGCCATGTAAAAGAGAAACAGATACCAAGGAACATTAGTTCCATTGCACAGCTCAACTTACCTCCTCTTTCCATAGCAGACTTTGCCTTATGCTTTGGCAACCTACCACCAGAACTTTTCTTGTCCTTTTGAGCTCAGATCTTTGGAAAACTCTATTTTATAAATTGCAGGGAGGAAGCAGAGACCTTGTTGACATAGTGGACTGCATTCTGCACAGAGCAGAGCCATGTGCTGTCAGCTGGAGTGAAAAACGAGGGCCCTGGGAAAGTGTGAAAAGTCATATGTGTTCTTACAAAAATATAAGGTCAGGTTCATGTAAAAGAAAGTCAGCTTTCCTTGAAAGCCCTTGCATCAGATTCCCATCTGATATAATGGCATGGGATTCCCCAGTGGAGTCCCAGCTGGGGAATTCACTGGCCAGGAAGTGGCTTTCTCTGTATCTTGGGTCCGGTGAGCACTGACTACAAACACTGTGCAGAATGCAAATATGCTGCTCCTATTAACAGCCCACTTGCTCGAATCCGATAATGCAGGCAGTATACTCCTAGAAGCGCCAGGCTGTTCCAGCAGAGCTCATTTGAATGAGGAAATAATTTAGAAGACAACTTCCTTCCCCTTAGCAGTCACGTGCGGCCCTCAGCTTGGAGTACCTCCCTGTGGCAACAAGCAGTAAGCACGGATGTGGGATGTTTGCAGCTTGTAACAATCCTTTACTGTGATAAAGGATTTCTTCTATCTGTGTTGTTGTTTTGCTCTCCTTTTATTCCATTTGCTCTCCACATGCATGAGCTCTCTGTTTTTGTCTGTCTGATCCCCCCAGACACCCTTCTACATTGCTGTCCTGTTCTTATGGAGGTTTCTGCCTGAGTGGCAGCTGGTAACTTGGAGAACAGCCTTGATTTTCCATGCCTCCTCCTCAAAAGTATACCAAAGTGGTACCAGACAGCATGTTTTCTTGCAGAGCCTAAGCAAAAAAAAAAAAAAAAGCAAAACTGTCTTGCCTGCTTCCCAGAACCTTACCCATTTCCTTCAACCATGTTTTCTATGTCCAGATGTTCCCTCCTTTTCTTTCTAGAAACTCTGCCTTTCTAAGAGAATCTTAACCTCTGCTCCTGGTGTCCCACCTGTCCAAGCTGCATCCCCAGACGATGTCTCCTGCCCTCTTACTGTCCCTGACACCCTCCTAAGACATGCTGCCCAAGCACCCAGCTTCTCCCTATATCTTTACAATGCACAGGCCTGGGCTGTTGTTCAGGCTGCCTTGAAGCAAGCACAGAGTTATCATAGTTGCAGAGATGATGTACGAAGAGCCAGAGGCTTTACAAGAATTGCCGCAAGCAAAGGCTCGAGTTCAAAAATCTAAGTACTACTGCCTTGAGCACAATACTTGAATGCAAAAAAGTCCTATGGAAATGCCACTGTAGTCCTCCCAGTGGAGGACAACAATAATGGGAATGTGTTACAGATGTTGTCTTTCATTCAGAACTTCTTTAATCTTGTCAGGTATTTTAAAATATTAATTATGCTAAAAGCTGCCATATCCACAGCAGAAATCATGCTCTTTCCTCAGTCATTTTGAAATACCTAGGGTTTACATACTGCATTCAGGTTTGAGTAGAGGTTTTCTTAAAGAAGAACAGGTTTAGCAAAACATTGCAGAACAGACTTTCAAAAGGGGTCTGTGTTGGCTCAACAGAACCACTGCTTGCTGTGAGTCTTTTTCCAAGGCACCCCTGGGTGCTGACTCAGACCAGAACAAAGCACTTTGAAAGACTTGGATCCCAGCCATTCCACATCACCTTCAAATACTTTGAAACAGGGAGACAAACATATTTCCTTATAGAATATTTTGATCAAGTATTTTTTATTCTGCTGTAGCTACAACCACTAGTGACTCATCTTTCTTTCTTGCCCGATTGCCACATAATTTCCATGTAAAAAAAGATTTATGATGAATGTAAAATGATTACAAATTCAGTTGCAGCAAATGCAGTTTAAAAAAAACCCATTTTACCTGAGAGTTGCCCAGTGGCAACAGGTATTACTTTGTATGGAGACCTGGAAAAGTCAGAGAGGGATTAAATTAATAACACCAAGAAAGCATTTTACATTTCACATTTCTACTCCCTGAGAAGTAGGAAGAAGTATTTGAATATATTCTAAGCCTACTCAAAACGTGTCCATTGAAATATGAAGCAGGCACTTGTAGCAAACACATAACCCTCCATTTTACTACTGAACAAGGGCACAAAGAGATCTTGATTGTACTGTGTAGTCACAGCACAAGCACAGCAAAGCAGCCTCCTCTTTGGCAAGTCTTGATAGCTTGGAGGCTGAGATGGTGACGTAATTGTTGCAGGCCAAAAGGAAGTGCCAGTGGAGGGGACCATTTCTTGCTTTGATGTTTGCACAGCACTGTGCACAATAGGTCCCTGCTACTTCTGAAGCTCCTACGGATGGTGCCAGCAAAAATAATAACGGTAGTTGTATGCCATGCTCCATTCCATATATGCCAAATACACCATATTCCATCACTGAAATATGCAATGGAATAAGTAGCAGCAAAAGTCATCACTGCAAATATTCAGAGTGAAAATAAAATGGCAAGACTGAACGAACAACAGGAACTCAGGAACAAAAGAGAAAGAGGAGACAGAAGGGGTCAGCATGGCAGAGTCTTGAACTCATAAAAGACTTTGTCTTTGCAAATGTAATGGTTAAGTTCTAACAGAGCTGTAAAGGAGCGAACAAAGGAGTCGGGAGACTTGACAGCAAGCAGAGTGGGGAGGGAGCAGATGTTCTACATTACATACTTAAATGCAGCATTTTTCCTCAGACAATTACTCCTACTTTAATAACAAGGGAAAAATCTTCAAAACCAGGAGACATTAGTGTTATAAGCCAGGATGCAATTCC